CCCCAAAACCCCAAAACCCCAAAACCCCTTGATCTGTTGGATATCTATTTATTCTGTATTAACATATTTGCCTGCTTTCCAAGTGCCTGTAAGCTCACTCTTATCATCACCTGAAGTGAAAGTTCCGATTCCTTCTTCTCTGCCTGCCTTCCATTCTCCGTTATAAGTGCTACCATTTGGCCAGGTAAATATGCCTTGACCGCTGTAAAGTCCTTTGTCCCACCTTCCTGAATACTTTGCTGGCTGAGGGGCAGAGTTTATTTTTGTAGATTGTTGGAATATCATTGTTCCATAGCCATGAAATTTTCCATGTTGAAGAGTCCCTTCATAATAACTGCCATCAGGGAATTTCATCTTGTAAGACTGCACTTCTTTATTCTCCTCCACTGAGTCTTTTAAGAACTTTTCGTACTCTTCTTTATCTTTAAAGGTAATTTTCTTGACTTCAAGACTGTTTGGCTGAGTTTGAAGAGGACTGGCTTTACAAACCTCCTCTACTTCTATGGGAGTATCTTCAAGCCTAACAGATTTTATTCTGACATTAGAGAATTTTCATCTTCTTTAGAAGTCTCTTGCAGATCTTCTTGAAGATTGTCTTCTAATTTAGGCTCCCTTTTATTTGGACCAGGGTTAGGATAATTTTGCAATGTGAGCTGTTTAGTTTTCTTGACGATCCATTCTTGTTTACCATCAATAGTCTTCCATTCTCCGAATTGAATATTTCCTTCTGGTGTTATTCTTTTTCCTTTTCCTATGGGCTTATTTTCTTCAAATTGACCTTCATATTTACTCCCATCTTTGTAAAACTTAATTCCTTTTCCATGATATTTAAAGTCTTTCCACTCTCCTTCATATCCTTTACCTGAAGGTTTTTGAAAAACTCCTCTTGTAAGCTCACCATCTTTCCATGTCCCTTTATAAAACGTCCCGTCATTGAAAGTCTTCTTTCCCAGTCCATTAAACAGGCCATTTACAAGGAAACCTTCATATTTAGACCCATCTGCGTACTCTAGGGTGCCTTTGCCTTGTGGTTTTCCAAAACTCCACTCTCCTTCGTACTTAGTTCCATTGGGGTTAATCTTGGTTCCTTTGCCGTGGAACTTGCCGTTCTTCCACTGGCCTACATACTCCATGCCATCAGCCCACTTGTAGTGGCCCTCGGTTGGTGTATTATCTCAATAGACTCCTTCAAAATAGCTGCCGTCTTTATTAGTCTTCTTGCCTTTGCCATGCTTATTTGCCGTTCTGGAAGAATCCTTCGAACACGTTGCCGTTTTCCCACTTGATTTTACCTTGACCTTCAGGTTTTTCGTCAACTAAGAAGCCATCGTAGTAGCCGGATTCTGACCTGAGGAAGAAATTAGCTTTGTACTCTCGTTCTTGGAGGACTTTAGGCTCCATTTTACCTTCCTTTTACTATATTTTTAAACTTTCTTTCAAAAATAAGCTATCTAAAGGGGTTTTGGGGTTTTGGGGTTTTGGGGTTTTGGGGTTTTGGGGTTTTGGGG